TTTTTTCTGTGGATTTGGTTGGTTGATGATGATGAAGAAGGCTCGAATGGGTTTAGGGAAGAAAGGGGGAGAAGGGTTCAGGTTTTGCAGGAGGTGGGACCCACTTTTTTTCTTGTTTGGTTTTGGGGCGGAATGGATCATACTGCCATGTCATCTTTTTTTTCCAGTTGTGCGTTTGAGGTGTCATTTTATTGTTGACATGTCATCGTGCTTTTGTCAATCAAGGACACGTCACTAGATTTTTAACGGATTTTTAACGGAGGGACTAAATCGGGGTCAAAATGGTAAACAGTAGGGACCAAATCAGGGATTTTTTGAGTTGAGGGACTAAGTCGGGGGTCCGTACGATAGTTGAGGGACCAAAATGGGGGTTTAACCTATAATAATTGAAAGAGAGAAATAAGTTAATGCAGCTAAGAGAATTTAGTTATTTTGCTTGTATATTGGTTTATATGGGCGTACGGTGAGTAACATTGTTACATTGTTATGCGTGCTAAGATGGGGTTCCAAATCTTCTCCTTCTATGGAACGTGGACCGAGCCGTAGTGGATAGCGGAAAGGAGGCTGACAAAAGCGGCGAGACTGCCACCCGCCCGGCGGCGCCTTCTGGGGTAGCTGTAGGCGCCCTTCAGGAAGTAGAAGACCGAGCCGGCCACCGTCCTCAATCCGAAGGCTCCACCAATTGTTTCGGGAATGGTTCCCGACCTTCCTCCGCACCGGAGTGGATTTTGGCCTTCTTTTTGGGGTTTATCTTGGAAAAGGGTTTTAAGGTTTTTTGACCAAAAGCTCCTTATGAAAACCGATTATTTTTAACATTTGCGGCATAATGGTAGTGCAATATTAGATAAATATGAGGCGTATTTAGTTATTTCAAAAATACTAAAATGCCAGCGGCGTCCGTTTATGCTTCTGTGGGAAAGAAAACCTAAAACTACCATTACCATCCGATAGAGGAACAGAGGAGCCGAAGAGCATCATTACACAGAGCTGGTCTGAACGTGGAAGGATTGTGGATAAGGACGCCGTTCTGTTAATTGGAAGCCTCAGCTCTAATTCAAGGTAGTTGTGTATTCTATCAGAGAAGTTCTGTTTCGATTTTGAGATTCCTTTTCTTTGAAATATAGAGTCTAATTTTATCTGAAATGCGCACGATGTGCTCTAATCTGAGTAAGGGCCAAGCATTTCCCCTGGTTATTAGGTTTTCTTCACAAACCAAATGCATCAAACAATTGTATACCTCAAAGTCTCAATCTTTATCAGTTGGGTCTTATCCAATAGCTTCCCCAAACCCGGTATTGATGCGTTCATTGACTCACCCACATGGGTTTGGTCACAAAAATGCTCATAAAGTTCCCCACTTTGTGAGACCCTTAAAATCTTTGGCTGGATTTTGTTGTGATTCTATGGAATTGGGTAGTGTGGCAAAAACCAGAAGTATTTCATGTGGGTTTCGGATGAGAAGTTCTGTGCAATTTTGCCAATTGGTGAGAGGTAGAGGTCTTTCAAGTTCGTATGCGAAAAGAGCTGGTGAAAAGAGTAGTTTAAATGGTACAGGAAAGAGGTTTCCTTGGTTAGCTTCGTCTAAGGGTAATGAAGCAACTGCAAAGACTAGTCAGTCTAGTTGGGAAGAATCTGTTGACAGGTTGGACAAAGAGGGCAATCTTTCTTCTTGGCAAGAACAGGCAAAGAAGTTTGAGAAGGGAACAGTTGCAAAAACTGGAAGTTCTTCCAGGGATGATTTGGATGAGGCTCTTTTGTGGAGAAATGATACATTCTCACCAAAGAATGGAGAAAACAGAAATAGAATGGTGGGTGGGGTGAAGCATCAAGAAGATGGCGCTTATGCTAGAAGGTATAGAAGTGTTGAAGAAGAAGAAGTAGGTGGAGAAGAAGAGGATTTTGTTGATGATCCAAGATGGTACAAAATTAAGAATAGATTTACAGGAATGGTGGATGCTAAAAGTGGTCCTGAGAAACCAGAGTTTCAAAGGTGGAACAAGCAGGATAATTGGGGTAGAAAAACTTGGAAAGAGGCTACTGAATCAACACTGCCTAAGATAGTTGGTGAAGGGGTTTATGGAGTGGGTCCTGTTTTGGCTGCACTGTCTGCAGGACGTAGAGAATTTTATGCTTTGTATGTTCAAGAAGGTTTAGATCTGAGCAGTAATAATAGGAAGAAGAAGGACAAGAAAGGGTTTGAGAAAGTATTGAACATGGCAGAAAAAATTGGGTTAAGCATAAAGGAAGCTTCAAAACATGATCTCAATATGGTTGTTGATAACCGTCCCCATCAGGGCCTTGTGCTAGATGCTTCTCCACTAGAGATGGTGAAAATAAAGGAACTAGACCCTGTTTCAAATGAGGAAGAGAAAGGTTCTGTTTGGGTAGCTTTAGATGAGGTTACAGACCCTCAAAATTTGGGAGCTATTATTAGGTCTGCTTATTTTTTTGGGGCTTCTGGTGTGGTGCTATGTGCAAAAAATTCAGCCCCATTAAGTGGAGTTGTGAGCAAGGCAAGTGCTGGCTCACTTGAACTGATGGAGCTTAGATATTGCAAGAATATGATGCAGTTCTTAGTTTCATCTGCTGAAAATGGTTGGCGTGTCTTAGGAGGTTCTGTTGCTTCAAGAGCTGTTCCTTTGAATGAAATTTTGCCAGGTGCACCCACCATACTTGTTTTGGGCAGTGAGGGGACTGGCTTGAGGCCTTTAGTGGAGAGGTCATGTACTCAATTAGTCAGGATTCCTGGAAATATCCCTCTGGACATAGCTCCCAGAGATTCTGAACATATGAAAGCTAATGAAGTAAATTCAGGGAGCTCTGTTGAGGAGTTCCGATCCTTCTTGGCTGTCGAGAGTTTGAATGTCAGTGTTGCAGCAGGTGTGCTTCTTCACCATTTAACTGCAAGTAGTCAAAGTAGTAATCCTGAGGTAGATGTCAAGGCAACAGATGCACTTCAATGACATTTCATTGGTGCTGTACTAGGCTTGCTGTCTTTGTTTATTGATATCCATTGCAGAAATTTTACAAGTGCTCCTAGGACTTTCTCTAGAAAAACCTTTTATGTTTATTCTTTTTATCAGAAGCATATTTTCTAAGGGATTTTATTTTTGTGATGAGCAGAATGTCTCACATGAATCACGTGAATGAGATACAGCCCTGGCATGAATGCCCTCACGATCCATGGCAGTATGATTTGTCCTTTTCATCAGTGTCTTATGATTGTCTTGCATTCCTTTCCAGCTTGCACCTATTCTATAGTTATTGTCAACTCCTAGGAATATTTCTTTTGCATCCAAGATTCTCCCAAATTTTGATTGGTTTGACAATTTGCCTAATCTTTTACATGTGCATGTCAAGGAACACAAAATCACACCAGGCATATAAGAACAATGCTTCAAAGGTTTAAAAAATCAATTTATCGATATATTACCAACATTTTGAACTATTTGCCAGATTAGATTTTCTCTGCTTTGTGAAATCCAGCTACAAAATTCTTTTGCTCTTGTATTTGCTTCTTTTCTTTTACGCGTGTGTTCTGGACGAATATCATAAGTGCCATAGCAAATCCGCAATGGCCTTCATTAGTGCTGCCCATACATGCATTCTGCTGCATTCTGGCTTTTATTCTGTTTAGGAAAAACAAAGAAAAGTTTTCTGGGTTACAGTTGCATGTGGATGCACATGCTACATGTCAAACTCCACCGACGGATTCTGTCTTCACTCGCCTGTTCTGGCTACTAAACATAGACTGCAATGACTGATTATGAAATTTTTCTTCGGAACAATAAGGTCAGTGATTCTGCTTCTATCCTGTGGGCTCACAGCCTCTCAAAGAATTGGCAAATTGACTCTGTTCCACCACAATAATGATCTGTACAATGTGGAGAAACAGAAAAATTAAAGAGTTCGGAATAATTTACAGACACGTCTTATCTATGTTATTTATACAAAATTTTAATTATTTATTTTTTAATTATAAATAATTAAGATTTATTCACTTTTAATTTTAATTTTTTTAAAGTTAATTGCTTTTTCATACGAAAAGTCACAGTGAATGTCAGCTACTTACAATAAAAAATTATTATAGCGTCAAGTGTAACAGGATTCTATCTCAATTAAAAATAGCTTACTTTAAAGAATGCTCAATGCTTTAAATGTTGATTTATGAAAATAACTAAATTTAGAAATAAGTCATCCACTCATCCCCATCTTTCCCGTTCCCCTTTTACCTTCGCCAGATCTTGCCTTCCTTTTTTGCAATTATTTCTTCTCTTAGTTCAATCACCCCCTTAAAGCTATCCTTTGATTTTTTTATTTTTTTATTTTTTTATTTTTTTAACTAACCCTCCTGTCCCTCCAATGTTCAAAATCCACATTAAATGTCAACTAATTTGAAGTGTAGTTAGGTGGAACCTCATAAAAAAAAAGTTTGCTCAGCATCTATTTTTTTATTTATAAGATTTAAATTTGAAATATTATTTAAAAAAAATTAATTTTTTACTTTGATCAATGGATCATTAGTTAAAGCTATTCTTTGATGTTACTACAAATTTCAAATCAAATAAATGAAGAGGAAAGACTAGAATTAGGTACTTTGATTAGGTCTGTTTGGTACAACAGTTAAAATTTAGTAGGTAGCGGGTGACGGTTAGTGAATAGTAGATAACGAATAATAAATAGTGGAAAGTGGATAGCAAATTTGATAAATATAACTGTTTGGTTTTATAATAATAGCGGTTATTGTTTAACATTAAATGACTAATAAGAACATATTTAAAAACAAATAAGTGTATTTTTTAAAAT